AAAAAAAAAAAAAAAATTAATAATATTTGAGTAATTCGATCAAGATTTATATTTCTCCAAATAAGCACAAAACATATAGGCCCAACAACAGTGTTGTTTTGGGCTAGTTTCAGAAGACATGTTTTAAGACAGGCCATTACCAGCCCGTCGTATTAAGGGCCTCTCACATTGAACAAATGGGCTTTTAAGCTGTTACGGGTTAGGGCCCCAAGACAAAATATTTACACGGCCCAATCTCTTTAATTTTTTATTTACATTGTTCTTCTTAGAAACTGATAATTAGAATTATTAAATGAAACGTGAATTCAACACATTAAGTATGTTGGAACTTATTTAAAAGCTAGTTTAGCTAACAAATTTATTAAGGCTTGAAAATTCGGAGTTTTGTGTAAGTGTCTAGATTTTTACTTTAAATGCGGGTCATTAAGAATTAAGCGTAAACGAGTCTAGCTAGAGCTTTTCTATCGATTTCATTAGTTATCAAAATGTGAAGGTCAGCTTGACTCTCTAAAAAAAAGCTCGAGCCCTAATTCAAGTATTAGTGAAAAAATTGGCATGACATGTTAAAGCACTAAAAACAAACATAGTTTATATGTCATCAAATCAATCAAAAACTTGTTATACATTATATATATATATATATACACAAAATCTATTGAAAGTGGCATCACGCATGAAAAAAACTTGGCCCATTAATTCTTTAAAAACTTATTCACCAATACAAACATGTCAAAATGCCTCACATCTTAGTTTGTTTCCATTTCTCTATACTTTTTTTCTTTCAACAACTTATTAAAATCAACTACTCATATTTATTTATCACTCAAAGCATATCATCTAACCCTTTAGTGCATGCAGATGCATTAGCCACTCAACACTTTCGGCTGCCCGTATCTCAAAATTTATTGTGAAAATGACAATATATATGCCTCTATAAATATATGTATATATTTCAACTTGGTGTATATAGCGGATCCATGACATTTATGTAATGGGGGCTCACGATACTATGGCCCTAATCCCTTCTCCCAATTCACCATCTCGGGCCTCCTCTGGCATGAATTGTTCTTTGGCATCTTTAGTATTGTTCTTTAGCTGGGGATCTCTGACCCCAACTAGGCTGGATTTGCCATTAATTATAATACAATAAATATCAATAAATCTTTTAGATATAATATATATAATAATATGTGTTCTACTTCAATTTTTATCATCAATTACACTAGGGTTTAGTAGTAGAACGGTTCGGTTGGGAAATCAAACTGAATCGAGAAAATAGAAAACTAGAACTATAAAATCTTCGAATCGAATTACACTGCGCAGCATACAAAAGGGTCGAAACAAATATTCGACGCTAGAAACAAGATAACCAAATCACACCGAATTACACGTCGTGACTCAATTTTTTTTGGGTTTTTCTATGCATCTGATTTCGGTTCACGCAAAACCGTACCAAGCCAAAAAAAATAAAATAAAAGGAAACTAGAACCATATGAAACATTTCTATACTAAAATAACCAAACCTAACCGTAACGAATTGCACGATTTGACTCGATTTTTTTAAGTTTCGGCTCGATTTCGCTCGCAGTACACTACACAAAATGGGGATTGACACGCCAAAACTATAGACCCCAAACTTTTTGTAGTGATTAACATCAAAGAATATAGTATGATAGGATTGGGGGCATCAAAACCTGGCAATAGTTTTTTCTCTCCATTCATAGTGGCATGGTTTTGGACGTGATAAAAAGCAATTTGTTGTCGGCCAAAAGTTACACTCAATTTGTAGCCATCTTCAATATTTTTTTTAATTAAATTTTTTTTTTCCCTTTTTTTAAATTTTTGTTTCTAGGACATATATGGTCCCTCAATTTATTTATACTCCTTCGCCTCGACCAAGAATATGACGGATAGCTAAGTTTGGAAAATCGACAAAAAATAAATAAAATAAATGAATAAATAAATAAATGAATAAATAAATAACTCGATTTCACCCTACAGATAACTACAATGTGAATTTTTTATTACGCTTATTACAAAATAAAAGTCTAATTTGCGAAAAAAAATATAAAGAAAAAAAAAATAAAAAAAAAAAGACAATTTGGCTAGTGGGGTACTACTATATTGTATCGTGTCACGTTACATGGGTGATTGTTAAAAAAATATCCTTAAATTTTAAAATCTACTAAAGCCTAATAATCCGAAACATGTAATTTTACCATATAAAATCTCGAAACATGCGAATATGTCAGTTAAGCTCAAGACTTTGGTATGTGTCTAATATCTTCATATATAATATTTTTTCCTATTCTGGGAATAACGATAGACTAGGAAAAATGTGAAATGGGAAAAGTATGTTTCTCTTTTATTTTTGATAAGTTTATTTTTTGTCAATTAGGCCAATTTATAGGGTTTGCCAAATTGTTGTTATACTAGTTTGGCATTTTTTGCACATTGGATCTATTTATAATAATATTTATTTTTATAGTTTTATTTTTTTTTTCTTGGAAATTTTATTGTGTTTGCCTGGTGGAGAATGTCTTGTTTGGTAAGGTTGTCAATAAATGAAATTGAGGGGCCAATCTTTTTTGGCTGAGGCGCCAGAGTGTAATTATTATTGAGCAAAAGGACTCATGTGAAAGAACTTTTTTTAGTTGTTGACCATTTTCACAATTTACGTTTAGGTGCTTCTTTTAAGAGGAAGTTTAATTAAGAGGTCATCAATTTAATTTAAATTAATTTTATTACTAGATTATGATGATTTAAATTTTTTATAAATAAATGGCTTTGTTAGTATTATGGAATATTTGGGTATTTAATTATATAGAAAAGCACGGCACTAGATTGTGATGAGATTATTATTATTATTATTATAAGTTTATTAAAAGGTATATAGTTTGAAAATCCGATGTGATGTTTTAATTCATAAATAATGGAATTAGTTCTAAATATATTGCACGTGTAAGTAGTCCAATTTTGGTTGGTTAGTAAATGTGATTGATGTGTCTAAAGAGTATTATATGCAAAAAAGATAAAGTTTAGTAGTTTTAATTGATTAAGATATCCGTATAATTTGATATATTAATCGTCGGTTTTGCTATGGAGCCAACGGTTGATTTCAAAGTAGAGTCAACCTTCTATATACAACAAGTAAATCTACCATGTTTTATGATTATTTAAATAACATTAATATAATTTTATTAATATGGTAGGTTTATTTGTTTTATATAAAAGGTTGGCTTTACTATGAAGTCAATTGTTGGCTTCATAACAAAACCGATTTAATCATATATGTGAGTAAATTTCACATTTTAATATTATTTTTGATTGGCCCCTTAATTTGTAGGGTACGTGGTTGTGAATGTGATTAATTAAGCCTAATTGACCAACAAATTACATATATTATTGATTACAACTTAAAGCACTCACATATAGAAAAGGAGAGGGGCTTTTGAGTGGGTTTATGTGTGATTAAATTAATAAATTAATTGAATAACCAAAAGGAAGTCAATGTTTGATTAATAATTGCAAAGACCAAGAAAGCGTTAACTAAAACCAAAAGAGTTGTGTTAATTAAAGGGCTTAATCTTTTTACAAATTAGATTAAGCTGTGATTAACTCGTAAAAGGTGCTATTCATTTTTGCCAGCGAGGATCGTAATTATTGCTAATCATATTATATGTTGCCCATACCAGCAATTACTACCTAAATTTTTGAAAAAAAAATATGAAAAATTAAATAAATTAAAACAAAATATTTATTCAAAAAAATATTTATTCAAAAATTTAGATTTTTCTCAATAATTGCAATACGAATTATTACTTAGCTCGTAATTGCTTAAGCGTGTTGCTTTCCTTCATTGTACCCAAAAAAAAAGAATTTAATTCGAAATATACAATTCTTTTTTATATAAATAAATATATATATATATATATATATATATATATG